CTCTCTCTCTCTCTCTCTCTCTCTCTCTCTCTCTCTCTCTCTCTCTCTCTCTCTGTAAAACTAACATACACGCGAGAGATCTCGTGTCTTGCCGTTAAAACGTACGCACATACATATTGAACATGCGTGCATGCGAAATATCACGCGAACACGCGCGCGTCGATACTATTTTATATAATCTAATAATCGTGAAGGGTTCGTCGCGCAGCGCGCGTGCACGCGTGTGCGTCACGCATCATCCTAGTACACAGGTGGGCACATATGTATGCTACAATCGCGATTGAAACCACAAAGTCAATACACACAAACATACACACACGCAGTTTCTTGCTCGCACTCATCAAACGCTACGTAAGTTGTGTGCTTACGTAATTGTACTACGGTAATATTGTTATCGTTATAGGTGGTAATAGCGATATAGCAGTAGCGGTGTGACAGCGCACTGTACTAACATCACTCTCGGATCCTTTCTTTTTATCATCGATATAGTAACAATCCCTCTCTTCCACCAACGGTCGCGTATCGATAGTCATAATAAGTTACTATGACATCGATAAACATTTTTATATTATTACTATATATATATATATATACACAATTTACGCGGTGTAACAATGCCTGCGTTTGCCACTCGACGAGAAATTTATCACGAGCTTCTTCTCGGTCTTTACGTAGAATTTTACATACGTCGTATTGCCTGCAACACATATGTCATATCTTTCTTGTGCACATATAACATATGCGTGTGCACATTTATACATCTTTGTAGGCATATATATTCGCAAACGCTAATTACAGATATCGATCCGATAATGATCCCCGCCGTCGTACTAATAAAATTAGTTCCTTACGTGTAACTCCGCACAATTTAAACACGCTTATGACCGCTCGTGCTCGGCACAATCACGTAGTTAGACACGCTACTTATGAATTGATTTTGCGTTGTTTTCTGTTTTTCAGTGTTGTCTTGCCGGACAATCGGCTTAAACCAACTAAACTGACAATAATCAATTTAAACAAACTAGAATTTAAACAAACGTAGCAGACGAGATGTTTTTTATACATGTATATATATATTAATCAAATAGGTATATTCTCTGCTTCGTATTCAATATATTAATTAATCTATCTAACTATGCGTTAATTGTCCCTTAACGAATACATTAGTCGCCGGATTTCGCGGTTAAAAAGCGAAACCGGCGGAAAACTCATAACGTCGCTTACAATCTTAAATTCTAGGATTTCGTTATTATCGCTTTATATAATTCTCTATAAATTATATACAATTCTCCATTCTGCAACAACGATACACACGAGTTGCGCGTAAATTCACATACGATTCTCTCTCGCTCGCTCATTTTCTCTCGCTCGCTCGCTCGCTTATATACATTTATCGCAAGTATGCAAGAAAATATCTCTCTGAATCATGAATAATTCAAGTTGTATCTTTGGATGTGGCCAAAAATAGATTTAACTAACGTGTCGCATAGGTGGGATCTAGATCGATCAAGGATAGTCAATTGTGTCGTCGATAGTCAAACGTGTCAATTGGTACGTTGATCGGACTGAAAATGATCGTCGTTGTTTCGTACACGACTCATTTTTACGAAACAGTTTCAAAAACAAAACGCGCGCGTTGGAAACAATTAGTAAGTCATTGAAGTTAATGTGCAATATCGTAATTGAACGTCATGATTAAAGACGATCATCCGATCGTATTGACTGATCCTTGTTCCAAATTATAGTATTGTACTCCTATATGATGCAGATGAATAACTTGCCCAAGATTACTCGATATGCACGTGCAAGAGCAATTTTTTTTTATCTTCTTTTCTTTCTCTATACTGTTCGATTGATACTGATTAGGTTAATTAGAACGTACTATCTATCACTCGCTATTACACGTAGGCAACTAAGTGTCCGTACCTGATGGCATTTTCCTGTGTATGTGCATGTGTGTGTGTGTCGTCCGTCAGTTCGAAAATAGAAAAATTAAGAGGACTTGTGCACCGCACATAGAGTTCACATTGTAAGTACTAATTGAAAATCCCATCAGGTATGCCGCTAATTTGTGCTGTATCGATTAAGTGTGTAACAAAGAAGTACCTTTTGCTTGAGACCTCAAAAAGTAGCAGCCCTATCACAGTGTGGCTCGGAGTGAAGGCGATTTTGTTTGTCCGTTTAAAAAAGATCAGAAGTACTTATAAAACAGACTCTATTTGCTTGATCTCCTTCTCGGGTGGCTCTAACGGTGACGGCGCGGTTTCTACTATTTCCGGTATGTCGTCCTCATTTTCCTCCTCGATATCTTCGTCAATCGGAGTCAATGTATCTAATATCACAGGTTGAGTCTGCAACAACGAGAGCACGTGTGAAAATTAATTAAAATGCAAATACCGAGTGCGACTGAATTCCTCTTGTGTAACGTACTTCCGGTGTAGTGCACCGTTTCATAAAAGGGGCCATGAAACTGGTAACAGTGCTCACGAAGAAGAAGAACCCTGCCATGAAGAACGGGATACTGTAACTTTGCGTCGCATCGTAAACAGCGCCCGCCAAAGGTGAACCTACTATTGCGGCAGCCCCTCTGAATAGAATTAACAGGCCAAAAGCATTCGTCAATTTGTCCAGTCCCAAAAGATCCACCAGAATAATCGATGTCAATGAGATGTATCCAGCTGAAATTGTAAGATCAGAAAATAATAACGTCCGACAATCACATTGGCAGACGAGGAACGGAATATTTCTGATTGAGCAGACAGCTCTAAATATTGGAAGGCTGGTGCACTTACATATTGCTATTCCGAAAAATATGCTCATGACGATGTAAGCGGCGTAACTATGGCAAAATGGCGTAGCGGCTACTGCAATCGTGGATATAATCAAGCAAATATTATTTAATAGTAAGGAATCAACTTGCGGAAAGTCCGCGACATATCCACAGGCCACACGACCTATCGTGTTCGTTATTCCTATGATAGATAGTAAAAATGACGCGGAATTGCTTTCGATCCCCTTGAAAAAAAAACAATGTTTTTCAGTATGCAACAATGGCATCACCACACAATAGTGGGAACTTGAGCATTAACTTACATCTAATGTCGCAGCATCCACCAGATATACAAAAGGAACATACAACCCAGCCATTCCAAACACGTTACTGATACCGATTAAAAGGAAAACTGGATCTTTCAGTAAGGACATATCCATCATCGTCGCTAGTGCCTCTTTAAATGATTCTGGTAATACCAAGCAAGGACACAAAGGTTCTGAAAAATAGACATTCATATTACCTCTTCCGGCATATTTCTGCAGTACGATTGATTAAATTGAATCGCAACGATATGCACTTACGTTGCGGTGCTTTCTCCACATCGACATCTTTCATATCACCGCGCACTGACTTAGGGAGAGAGATAACGCTTTGACGATAATTGGCGAGAGACTTCTGGCTTTGGTATTCTGGTAAATTCACTACGCTACCGCTGTAGAAAATATCCTTTCTCGACAAGGGACGGACCATCATTGGTTTTTCCTTTGGGATACTAGTTTTACTGGTAGTAAAGGTAATACTCTCACCATCCTGAAACGAATCGTGAAATTAAACACATTTCGCACAAGACGAAATGTCCGAATCGACAAATACGAAACTTACATCGACTTCAGCGTTATTGTTTCGCGACCCTAATACACTGCTGGTAGAGAGTCTCAAGTGCAGACTCTTTCGTATATCTCCGTTGGAATTGAGTGTCGTTCTGGAGTTCTTTATTGCACTAAGGCTAGGCTTGTAGCGCTCCCCGGTACTGGTCTTGCGGATTCTATCGAAGAACGGTACGGATCCGTTTTTAGGCAAACCTTGGACATGAGTCGTAAAAGCGGGTTGCGACGCGTTTCTGGGGATTACAGCCTTGTTAAATTCATTCTCAAGTTTCTCTGTGTCTTTAGTGTCTTTGGTTTCGTCGATATTCTTCTTGCTTCTTGATTTACTCGAGATATTTTTCAAGTCCATACTGCCACTATTGCTGGTCGCTCCGCTGGAGGAATGCTCTTGTACCTTCACTTCAGATATAGTGGGAAGGGTTGGCACCGTTGGAACTGGTGTTAAAGGAGTTCCTTTAATATTACGGGTATTCAATGAAGTACACCTTACCATTTCGATACTCGAAAAATGCACGTATTCGTAATTCATGACAGCGACATAAGTCCTATTCCTTTTAGATAATTTGATTTATAAAAAAAAAAGAAACTGTCGACAATTGAACTATGTGGCGATGACTTAGGTTACTCTCACGATCACAGAAACATGTTTGAACGGATACTTTACACTGAAGAGTCCCTTACCAGGCACTAATTGGTCTAGGTTGAAGCTGGAGTGAACACCGGGATCTATATTGATGGGCATCTTCATCCTTTTCTCCATGGAACCGTCAGGCAGTTGCACCATGAAATATGACCCACCGATGCTACCCCGTTCCATTTGAAATCTTTTCTCTTCAGCCATCCGTTGTAACAGTGGCTTAACGGAAGAAGCTTTGGGGTATTCCAATGGCCTCATCATCGCACCGAATACCTAAAAATCATCTGTTACAATTATCAAATATACGATGCAATCGTCGGTCAATCTGAAGTGTCACCCCTTGCGCGGTTGAAGCGACAAATAATGAGAGAGAAAGAGAGATCTCGCAGTTTACTTACTGCACAATTCAAAATAAGGCCAGCCAGAATTAGGTTTGCTCCTTTCCAGCTGTACGCTTCTAACAACATAGTAGCGAGAGGCGCGAATGCGAAAGTACCAAATCCAGATCCGCATACAGCGATACCAGTAGCTAAGGATCTCTTAGTCTCGAAGTAATAGCCTACGCAAACTACCGCGGGCAGATATATCAAACCGAATCCAATACCTGAAAGAAATGCGTAGAGAAATTTTATAAAGGACTTGTGAGCCGCGAAACCGAGCGATTGTCAATTATCGTAGATCACGCACCTCCCATAATGCCGTAAGTCACCATAAGCATATTTACACTGCTCGAAAACGTTGAAAGTACAAATGCGGCAGCGCCTAGGAAACTTCCCGCCATACACACTGCTCTACAGCCATATTTATTAGTTAAAGCGCTGACAACTGGACCTAAGGGGAGAAGAGCACAGGTAGAATTAACATGTCATTTAGCGTGTAATTCGACACTGCCAGAGAAGCTACTTTAATCATCCAATTAAACACTTCAACGTGTTTAATTGGAAAAAATTCAATATTAAATTTATCGAGCGCGCCGTTACTTATCAGGTCTTAAAACAGATGTAGTTTGCCAATGAAGACGCAATTCAATCTTCTTTCGTTAAGATAAAATGCACTTGAGAACCAATTAATAGATAAGCAAGATTTAATCACTTTTCAGAGTCAATATTGAAAGTCGACAGTTACATCATCACAGCGCATCTTGTATATTCGAAAAATCGCTGCAAATAACAATCGGTTGTAGTTGTTAATATCTCTTACCAGCACTAAGGTACATCCCAGAAAGTAACGAACCAACCCAAGCAGTCTTGCCTTTCCCTTCACCGAAGTACTTGACGAATTCACCCAGAAAGACACCAAAAGTATAGGCGATACCATCCACTATCATGTTACACATGAAAGATGCAAATACGACCACCCAACCATAGCCACCGTCCGGTGGGGGTGGTATGTCATGGTATTCGCATAACGAACCACCCTCGTCCTCGGGAGAAGCTTCATCAGCGCCTGGTCCATCGGTCCCGGTTAATCTCGTTTGTTCTTCCACAGAGTATTCGCTCTCCGTCTAGAAAAAGGTAGAGCAGAATTTTTCACAAATTCACGACGATTTCTCTCGTTTGTTAAACTATAATCAGGTCTTGTAAAATGGAAAGCTAATAAGAAAGAGAGAAAGATGAAGACTTTCATACTGGCGTTTTTCATCTTTGATTCATAATTTTATGAAATAATAACGTTCTCTTCTTCTCAGTGGCCACAACCGGTGCGAAATTTTGCGAATAGACGCACCTACGAAGCGCGCAAATCATTCGTCGCGATGTATGCACTTCGTGCCGTAATGATAATAAAGTACGGACAATTATGCAGCAACGCACACTTGCTTGAACCATGCATATTTCTTTCAACGATTTCGCAGGAAAACACCGGTAAACGCATATAATTGAGGACTATCTTGTAACTTCATGGCGCGGACGTGTTGCATTCGCCTTGAATGAAACTTGCTGTTCACCTTGAATGCGCCGAGAAAGAGTCTTCTTTCGTGTCGATGCACAAACAAGTACTTAATACTCTTTAATCACCGACTTAACGGAATGTAGTCGATTAGACTCTTTATCATTCGGATCATGCGCGAGCGCCAGTATATCTTTCCAGTGAATTGACTGTGAAATAGATACAAGTGATTTAAAATCTGTTAAGATTGATATTACCAATTCGACAAGATAAAGAATTATGTTTCTTTCAGTGGGAGTGCGATTATTTATACATGCAAACGTCGAGCCGAACGAATCGAGCGTATTTATTGATGCAATTCAAGTGCAACTGCGAATCCATCATTTTCAGCGATTTTTCGCAGATTTCCGAGAGGAAAAATAAATCCCCAAGCTCGCGTGTATCCGTCTTCCGGTTGTCAAACGCGGAAATATACTTTTCGACGAAATGTTCGAAAGAAACAGCATGTTAAAAATAGCGCGCGCGATTTTATTCAACAGGGACGGCACGCTCTGCATCGTTTGATTCTCGAAATAAAATTCTCTCGACTGTACTCGAAATAAGAGGAAATCCGAGAATTCGCTCGTGCGCAGAAAAGGAGAAAGAAAGGAGAAGATGAATAATCGTAACGGCGCGACAGGACGGACGATTTCGTTAAATCCGACGAGGACGAAACGCGTGTCGCGAAATTATCGCGATGGACGTAACGCGAGAACAACGCGTCCGCGCTATAGGATGATCTCATAATGCAAACGCGAGCATAGATATTAAATAGCTACTGTGACTTAATCAGTCCCTAAGGCTACGTCCGGCCAAGGTGATACGTTGTCTCGTACAGAACGTAACGCCGAGATAGAACCGATTAGCTGTTTTCAATTCAGGCCGCGTTTCTCGGACGCTTAGATTTATCGCCGGATAATGTGATTCATTACACAAGACAAATAAGATACTTTGAGATTTAATCGGCGATTCCTTCCAGCTAGATTTCTCCGCGCTGTTTCCACGCCCGTCATTTTCTGTACATTTTTAATCGTATACATTCGTCATTAATCTTCCGCCGGACAACTTTAATGTATAATATAATTCAAGAGATAAGTAATTTCACGTTTCAGACAGTTGATACACCGAATAATACGCTAAAATTATCCCTCGTTTGGTCCAATCGAACACAATCGTGTAGGGTCTCGACGAGGAAAAACAGCTTATTAATATCGAGATATTAATAACGTGGTAACCGAGAAGGGCAAATATCGAACCACGCCTACGCGATTAATCGACCATATCCCGCGGGTATTCCCGCCTTAATTACGAGTGTGTTAGGCTACGAAGACCGACAAGAGCAAATAATATTGGAATGCTAGTGTTCCAACAGTTGGAACAGATAAGCGCGTCGCGATTATTAATAGTGCACACAGAAAAGTATACATTGCATTCAAGTACTTGTAGTTACTTGTCTCAAGTATTTCGTATGTTTACATACCCACGAATCTATCACAAATTCATCATAAGCATCAAATTTACATTACCAGCTTTTCCTTGTAAAGAGAAATTCTTCTGATACATGATAATAAGTTTTCCTCAAATTTTTGATAAGTAAAGCTTAAGACTGTCATCGAGAAAAAATATCCTTCGTTGAAAACAAAAGAAATTTAAAAGAAGAAAAATATACTGAGTAATCGCTTTTTCTATCAGTAGAATAATATTTTTCTGTTTTTAAGTGACGTCAGCGAAATAACATGGTACTCATACAATCTTGTATTTTATGATAATAGTTTATGGAGGATAATTCAAGCGGAATTTCTAAAAATATGGGATACTGCGAGAGTCAGGGCATCTGATTTTTCGCTGTAGCCATGTGGAATCATGTCAAAAGCTAAAAAAAAAAGAAACCAATTTACTTCGACACCGCGATAATAAATCATGCACGATTTTTTGCTTTCGTAATTGAACGCGGCTGTAAGTGGAACCGGAAGGCTCGAATTTTAAACAAACCAATTGCGGAAATTCACTCTCGTCTCGCGTCCTACTTCTCAATCGTCAAAAAGGAAAGAAAGATATTCAGTCCGTTCGACGTAGCGCAAGTTGCATAAAACGACGATTTTTATATTCTTCCCGAAGGCGATCCTCCGCGCGATCGATCGGTGGACCACCGTTGCATCTTGTTTTCCCACCCTTTCACCCCGTTTCACGACAAGGCGCGAGATAAACGGTGTCATTACTGTGAATTTGGATCAACGACCTCGGCCGCGAAGACGAATTTAAATGCAGCGCGCGCGCGGGCGCGCTCACGACTCTGAGCCGAGCGGAAGGTCACAGCTGATCAGCTGATCGCCGTTGTCATTCCACGATCGCGCCATCCCACGACGGCAGACGCGAAGCTTGCCGCAGCCAGCTAGCTGACCAGCTACGACAACGACGTGCAACTCGCGATCTGATCGTATGGTCTTCAGCGTGCGGCATCGTTGCGAATCACACACACACACACACATGCAGATACGCATTCACGCGCCATTGCAACGCCGCGTGCTCGCGCGCGAAAACTCACGACGGCGGCATATCTCCGGCGCGCGAACGTCAGTCGAGCCGCTTCGCGACTGTCAAGGCTGAGTCACGTGTTGTCGCCTTCGCGAAACTACGCACACGCAGTACCACCACGCAAGCAACCGTACAAAAGCACAGTCTCAGAATTTTTGTTTCCTTGCAAGGTCAAACTCGCTTTATTGTGATGCCCCAGCCGCGTGCGAATTACCGGTACGAACCGCGCGATCGTGCAAAAAATCGATAGTTTTCTCATCGCGTGCCCTACCACATTTCCCAGTGCGACGTTAGCTCCAAGAAACGCGCTATTCATATTGCGAGATATCTCGAAATCTTTATTTCGGACTTCTGTTTCACCCAGAAAAACACCGGTCGCCGTTGTTTCCGGAGATACACACGCAGGGGACGAGATCGTCGACGCGCTCCAGTCGCGAAATTGAGTAGGGAGAACGAGTGAGAAGAGGAAGGGTGGAAGAAAGAAGAAAGGAAGAGGAAAACAGGACGACTGGACTGACGCTTAATCGAGAGGAATTGCGGAAGCAGCACGCCAGCCATCGACATGGTAAAACACTCCCTCGCACTCCATACAAACCCTACCGAGCTGATCTTGCGAACGCGACGCGAGCCGTACTGGCTGTACTGCGACTTGTTGAGCGACACGCGCGACATTCTACGACCGCCTTAAACCGTCAGTCACTCTTCTCTCTCTCTGGCACTCGTCCCTGCTGTGGTCTCTCCTTCTCCTCCTTCTCTGCCTCCTCCTTCTCCTCCTCCTCCTCTCCTCTTTGCACTCGTTTGTCCGTGCGTGCGTGCGTGCGTTCGTTCGTTCGTCGCACGTTCGCAATCGCAACCACGTTCTATTTTCGAGCGCGATGCGGCGCGCTCGACGCGACGCGACACGAGCGACTTCGACGTGCTCTCCTCGCACGAGAGCGACGCCTTTATCCCGCTCGTGTGGACGACGATTCTGTCAAACCGGACGCTGCGTCCGGTTACGCGCCCTTTCTCACTATCTGTCACTCTGTCCCTGCACCGTCTCCTCTTCCGTCCCGCCGATCACACCGCACGACGACGATCCTTCTCGTCGTAGTCCGCTGCCATGTCGACCCGCTGCACGCTCGACCACCGCACTGGCGCGCTCGCGTCGTCGGCACTCGCTTAGCGCACTGCCGTCGAGCGCAGCGCGCGGTGTGCCGGCACCCGGCAACTCCGGAGCAGCGGCCGGAGTAGTGGGAGAACGAGCCCTCGATCAAGGATCAAGGAGAGCACCCTGCAACGGGCCTTGCGAGAGGACGATCGCGGCCTCGATGCCTTCGGTGTTATGGTGTGCGCAATTATCTGCCGCCTCGTTGCAATTTCCCGCCGTTTTATCTCCAGAAATCGCTTTTTAATTCAATTTTATGTCTCCCTTTCGATGTATTGAACAAAGTTAATTTCCCGTCGTTTCAAGCGCTCTTTCCGCGATCTTGTTCTCATTGGAAATAATTCCAACGGGAATCAATCTTCGTGAATAATTAATCTTCGTTGAATTTCTCTTATTGGAGAATTTTTCTCAGATTTTTCTCCGCAAGGAGAATCCTTCATGGAGATCTTTCGTTGGCGACACCTCATTGGCGAAATCCTCATTGCACATAGACGACGTCCTCGAGTGTGACGATCCGCGAATGTGCAAATAATTGCGATTAAATTCTCGATACGAAGCCAACTTTACCTGTTGTTAGCGGAAAAGCGCGAATCGCAGTGTCTCGCGTCGACGCGCGCACGTGCGAAGTGACTCACGTGCCGCGGGCCGACAAAAGCTGTATGTGCACACAATCGCGCTCACGACGATCGCTTTGTCTAGCGGCTATCTCCCTCGTTATTTTCGCCTTCTGTTCACGTTTACGTGTAACATTGTTATTCTGCTGTTGCAGAGGATTCTACGTCCGACAGTGTCGAGTTCCCGAACTCCGTCAACGTCAGCGGAACCAATCGGCGCGATTGCAGACTTTCCACGATGAGAAACGCGTGCTGGCGTATGTATCCCACTGAACCTCGTCG